TTCAAAAAAGTGTAGTAAATATGTAAAAGAGAAAAAAAAAATAATAATAATAATCAAATGGCTAGTAATTTTATTCATATTTGTATTTTTTATACTTATATTGATTCATAATATCTTATCCAGAAATTGACTGTCTTAGATTGGGACTTGTAATCCTAAAATGTGGAGGCACATAGAAATGAATCAATCACATTAGTTGTGTGAAGAAATTGGAGCCACATATATAAGAGAAATTTGGATAATTTGAGGTAAAATATTGTTATCAATATTCCCTTATCAATGAGCAATTTATTAACTCCTTTCATACGAAATAGACAAGCCCACGAGGACATGTTTTATGTCTTTAATTTGTTTCTCTTTGTATCACAATACAAAAATGAGAATCCAACGAGTTGAACGGTAGAAAATTACGTAAAAATTAACTCTTCGAGTCATATCGAGCTGAGCCGCGCTCGGCTTGCTAATTAAACAAGTTCGAGTTCGAGTCTTAACGAGCCAAGCTCACGAGTGACTCGTTTTGTTTAACAGCTCTAATGAGACGTACTTTTGTTTACTCTTTTTTAAAAGTTCAGCATTTTCTAACGAAAGTCTATGTATACCTTCTCCCCGTTGGCCTTAGTGATCTCATAATTTCTGCGGCTAAAAACGGCCCATCCTTGTTCACTACTGTCGTGGGCGAGGATGTCCATGATTTCCTGCATGATGAGGTCGTTGTCGACGGTCATACCGATTTGTTTCTTGGAGTTCAACATGGTCCACAGCCGAAGCCAAAAGAACCACACGGAGTCATACTAGTCGACCGAGAAAATGTGGCTCAGCTTTTCGCAGTGAATCACCTCGTGGCACCTCCGAACCTTGTCCTTCGGGTAGCATTTGCCGACGTAAAACATCTCCAGAGGGACCTGAAGAGCACCGGCAGCAGCACATGCCGATAAGGTGAACCGTTTGATCCAGTCGATGTCCTCCCCTCCATACAAAAAAAAAGTCCAACTTTTTTGTTATGTTTTACTCTGTTTTCTGTGTTTTCATGTCCTGGATTTGAGTTAGTTTTACCTTATTTTACTTGTCGAAAATCAAAAAAAGCTTTACGGGGAGAAGTTTGAGATTCCACCGCAACCTTTACCAAACCTTGTTTAGTCTTACTAAAATTCGAGTAATCAAAGTAAACAAAAATAATGCATCAAACACTTATCCATTCGGAGAATCGCGGGTCGATGGCATCGGCCAGCAGGTCAATATTCCATGTGCTCTCGGCCCAGAGTGCCCTCTCGTGGGCTCGTGTGAGCGGGAAAGCCGAGCTTCCCCATATCCACATCATCGACAACGCGTCCTAGTTGGCGGGCTTTCCCTGCGGGTCGAGCACAACCATCATTGGCGTGTGCATGAAACCCCACACGTCCCGAAAGTACCGTGCGGCCAATGGCTCGACCAGCGATGGGTGGTCGACCGAGTGCCACGGCATGTTGTTTCGTAGGTCGTAGAATACAGTTTCTTGAGGGGTTAGCGGGGCCGTGGGGTCCACGAGGGGCATCCATATGACTTCGTACTCGTGCCTCATCGGGTGCTGGTTGTAGATCGAGTGGACTATGTGGAGCTCTTCTTGGGGGAGCTCGAGATTCGAGATTAAGAGGAGCACGTATTTTAGATGAAGGGCTTCTATTTGTTCCTGTTTTTCGACTAAGTTCTTGTCGATGAGCTTAGATTAAGTACTTGAGTTAGAGAAAATAGTAAAAAATAAAAAAAAAGGAACGTTTAGTCGTTTTGAGCCGTCGAAGAGCGTCAGTCTTCTCGGGATTTGATCATCGCCTTGAGTACTTTCATGTTGTCGATATGAGCCGACTCCATAAGTTTTCTGAATGCAAAGGATGCATCTTCTACCTTCTTTTTGTCTATATAGATCAAAAGAAGAAGGGATAGTAGTAATGATTGGTTTTCTGGTTTACGGATGATAAAAAGCGACTAAACGACCGCGAACTTACTCATTGTCTCGATACATTTCCTCAGCTGATTCTGCAAGTGCTCGAATATAACCAAGAGTTTGTGCGCCAGGTTCATTATCTCCCACGACTCGGCCGTTGAGGTCATGTATCTAAAAAAACTACGTCGAAATGCGTTAGCATCTGCTTTGTAGTTACTTATCGAGAATTGAAAAAAAAAAAAGGTACTCATGCCTACTGCCCATCAGGTCTAAGAGAGTCGAGGCACAAACGAGGAGGCTCCTCAAGATCCAATAGATGGCGGTTAAAACATGGGATGTTGCCGCTGATATCTCGGGCGACTCACGGCTAATGTACACGTGCGGCAGCTCCTTGAGCTTGATGATG